AAAAAAAAAATTCTATTTTCCAGCTCATAGGTTCTGTTTTTATCTCAAATGTTCGTGTAAATACATTGAAATCTAACTATAGTTCGTAGTTAATTACAGAGATTTCAAAAAAAAAAGATTTTTTTTATTCTCTAGCTGAAAAGTTTAGTTTTCATCTCAAATGTTCGTAAAAATACATTTAAGTGTATCAACAGTTCGTAATTCTATAGGTAAAGTGAAAAAAAATTATTTTCTAGCTCAAAGGTTTGTTTTTTTATCTCGAACGATCGTGAAAACTTATTAAGAGGACTCTATAGTTCATGTATTTTTTTTACTCATATGTAGTGGTTAAATTTTAATTTTTAATATTTCTAGAAGGATTTTCTAACAAGTATATCAAATAAGAAAGTTTAGTAAATCTTTAACTTTACTAAATGAAACATTAATATTACATTATATTAGCCTTTTAATAATTCTATATTGTGATCATCGTAGTTTATCTGAACTGTAATTCATATAACTTACCAATTTCAATTAATAAATGGTTAGTTGAATATATATCACAATTTTATTTTATATTTTCCATAAAATTATTCAATGAAGGCATATTTTAATAGTTGATATTGATATGAGTAGTTATGTTAGTGAAAGAAAATAGAAACGCGCCTTTTATCAGATTTATTGATTATTGATAATTAGAAGAAAATAAAACATTAAGAAATTTGACTTTCTTTAATTTTTGCCGAAAAATGATTCAATATATATTAACAACTCATTCCAATATTATGAATATTGTACAATAAAGCTTAGAGATAAAGTGCATCACTAACGACGATTCATGTTTTTAGAGAGAATAGAGATCGACCACAGGCGACGTATATTCTTCAGTGTTTTTGTCATAATACGATAATATGTTATTGGTTGAACGAAAGGAACGAATGATTATTAATTTTGTTTTAATTGAATAAAGAAAAATGTCACAATATCAAAAACAAAATAGATTTTTTTAATGTTTTCTAAGACAAAAGTTATCTTTTTCAATCATTCTATTCGATCTATTATATTTCAGGTCATTCGAGAGCTTAATAAATAGAGAAATTCTTTTTACGATCATTTCATCATATTCCTAATTTGCAATTCTAAAGAATGCTCAGAAAATAAGATATGCTTTTTATTAAATTTAATATCTTATCTTTATTCTTTCGTTCTTAGACAACTTTTTTTTATAAATTAAAATGAACCATGAAACAATTGAAGAATTCACGTCAGAATGACGAAATTGAAATGAAGATTCATAAGATAAGAAAAGAGTATAAAATAAATCAACCATAGCAATTATTCGATATTTCATCAATAAAATCTTTTTAAAATCAAAATTGATGAATAATGTGTACCATAATATTTAAAAAAAATGAAAAGAATAAGTCGAATCAATTAATAAGTAGCAAGATAAGTAAGACATATAAAGATATCTTATTCTTTCGAACGTAATTGATGGTAGAAGAAGCGTATCGTTAATTATACTTTTTTTGTTATTTATTTATTAAATTTAGGTTTTATAAATGATAATTTTAGTTAGAAGTTTTTTTGTCATATATATTAATCAATATATTGTTCAATTGATTATTTCATTCTCCTATTAATCTGTAAAAATAAGCATATAAATCAATGCGTAAATTTTCGAAACTTTTTTTAATAATAATATTCTGATAATCATGTGATGAAAAGGGAGAACAGTTTGTGAATATTGACACTTATGTATCATATTGGATTAAACATTTTATAATATGTAAGAAAAAAACTAATTGAATAGTAGGTGAATAGTCGGTAAAAAAATTACTAAACAAAGTAGAGAAGACAAACGAAGAGAGACACAAGTATGTGAGATAAATATGCTTTCTTCTATGATTAGGCACTGTAAAAATAGCATACTATGGGCTATTTAATTTCAGTCTGGATTTATCAAATAAAAATAATACTTGATTTCAAACTGAAACGTGAGTCTAGGAGTGAGGGAGGGGGGTGACTGAGGGTGTGGGTGTTGGTCTGGGACCCACACACACACCCACACCCATGGTGCGGGTGTGGGCGCGCGAGTGAGGGTGAGGGTGTGCTTGTGGTTTTGTGTACTATAGGCTTTAGTCCCCTGCACAAGGGACTAAGCGGGGACTAAGCTTTTTGTGGGGGGGACTAAGGGGGACTTTGCAGGACTAGGGGAGACTAAGGGTTTTTAGTGAGACTACGTAGTATCAAGCGAGAAAAGTTTGATTCGGAAGAAATTGGTGTGGTTTTTTTGATTTTGGAATTCAGTTTGAAATAAAAAAGCCCATAGACTCAAAAATAGACATATAAATTTAGTATTTATTAGTGAATAAAAATTTTGTATATTAATTAATGAAGCGTTTGTGAATAAAATAAATAAAATCAATTAATTTTTTTCCACGATAAGATAGCATTATTACATTCAATATCTTTACAACGAATACAGTATGTATAGTTTTTAGTATTTATCATGATAGCTACAGTATTACGTCGATGATGACCTTTTTTTTGGACAATATCTGTAGTTACCTGCTATATTAAAAAATAATAAATTTTTATTCAAAGTACTACGAACACATGAATGCACATAACCTCGATGAGATGGTTCAGATGTAATTACGTTTTCTACAAAATTAAGAAATATTTGTATATCTGTGGCAGATAAATTTAGCTTATTAATTGCATTAACATCCATTGAATTTGCCGAATTTCGATCTGTATTAATGATTGTGGATGGATTACAAAAAGACGAAGGATCTATATGTTGATTAATTAAGTTAATATTTATAAAATTACATGATAATGTAGTTATTGGATTAGAAACAGAAGATAAATCAATCACAAATTTCTTATTCTTAAAATAAATTTTTGATATTTGATCGTATTCCATGAATGTGATTAAAGACTTTTTAAGAAGATCAGAGGATGAGTATTCCGATTGACAATGAAAAGGAAATATACTTGATGGAACAAGAGGATTATTTTTTCCGTACTTTACACTATTGAACAAACGAAACTGTTGGTTTTTTGAATAAACATTTGTATCGATCGCTAAGGTCCATTCATTTGTTTTATTTCGTACGAGCAAATGTGCAATATCAGCGATTGAAACATACGGAATTGATAACTTACATCTAGTACAATTTTTTCGTAATGTATTTGGAGATGGTGCTAAATGATGCATCAAGTTTGACGTACTACTGCATTCCTCTTTTGATAAATTGATATTAAACATTGAACATTTATGTTGAGTAATTGATAATAGTAAAAAATGAACAATAGCCTTGATAAAAATCCCGTGAATTGATGTATTTTCAAATAAAATTGATGGCTTTGCATGTATAAAATGATATGATATTTTTTCATCTGTTGAACTGAAGAAAACCAATTCAAAAAAAATTAATTAAATAAGATAAATATAATAGATATGCATATATACTTTTATCAACACAACTCAATTTTAAAAGAGAAAATTACCAAAGGATTCTATGTTAGTTTTAAAAAAATCCTTATTACTTACGCTTCTAAAACAAGAAATTGCTTTAAAATGTTTTCAGTATAAGTTTCAACTGAAGTAATAGTATTATCTGGACCATTTAAAAAGTAATAGAGAATTTTAAGACAAGATATAGGAGCAATGTAATGATTTTGTATATCAAGATTTTTATCGACCAAGTATTCGAAATCAACATGTGTTTTGACTGTCTTATTTGGAGAAATAGATTCATATAAAGTTCGATGTATTACAGGACAATATTCAAATAATGTTATTAATTCTTCAATGGTAAGACAACAAAATTGTCGAGATTTATTTTCTTTTTCAATACTTAAATGAATATCGTTTTTTTCACCGTTTTGCTCCAATAATTGATTATTTAAGTCAGACATACGTTGGGTTATAATTTTATCTGGAAAAAGACGTTTGATTAAATTTTTAACAAAGGCCATAATTTATTTGTTATCAATATATAGTTGGCTAGTTATTAAATATTAATTTTAGATAAAAATATTTTTGGGCGCCTACAAAGTTTTTTCTTATATAGAGATGTTCTGTTTGAAAGCAATTTTTTTAAAGAATATTCTATTTAATGAGAAGAAATTCAGATGGAAAAACAATAGAATGACAAGAAAAGTATTAATCTTAACAAAAATATATGTGCATTATTATTTTTATTTTGACCTAAAATAAAATATCAAGTAATGCATTATCCAGATGATGTAAAATGAATCTCATATGAAACAATTGATTCGATACAAGTTAAAACTCATAATGATTGCATAAAATGCAAGATTTTAATATTTTTCTTTTATTTTAATTAGTTTTCAGAAAATCATGTTTTTGAAACTATGTTCAGGATTATTTTTATTAATAATATTTAAATATAATTGGTGAAATTAATTTAAATAGTTTGAAAGAAAAAAAACAGGACACATTTTCTTTCGATTAAAATAATGTTTAAAACAAATCAATTCAAAGTTATTGACAAATATTCAAATGTTTTTTTTTCTCTACAGTAGACTAGAATTATTGAACATTGATAAATTTTAGCCAGTAAAATCATTCAAATAATGGATAAACGGGTGTTTCCCATACTAACAAGTGTACGTGATCCTAAACATTCAGAAAACTTCAGCTATAATTAAAAAGATGATTTGAATTCGATTTACCATTAAACCAATCAACTTTAATATTTTTTATTTTTAACCATTTGCAGATGACAGATGTTGGAATTATTTTAGCCTAATAGAAAAAAAGGGAAATGAATAATTATACATATAATAAAACCTGTTCATTCCATAATATTAATCTGATATGAACACCATCTTGAGCAACATGAAGTTCTCGTCGAGTCCATGAATTGCCATTTGTATTTCCTGCTGTAATCCCATAATCTCTTAAGACTTGTACTTGAACATCTATACAACATAATTGGGGATATAAATTAATCATAGTTTTAAATTAGTTTTAATCTAAAATTACTAACCAATGATTGAATTTAACGATAGTGTTTCGATTTCTTTCAAACTGGTAATATTGCATGTCAACTGATAATTAAATGACATAATAATTTCTTGCACTTTAGTTGTCTTATTTACAATTAGTTGATATGCATGAGGTAATTTTTTGTACATATTATCAACAGTTCGAATTGATAAACCATCGAACTCATATGACTATAAATATAGAATGAAAGAATATTTTACTTAGACATTCTATTACTTGTCCTTCAATTAGTTTATTCGACATTATATATGAATCTAAATTGAATGCAACAAGATTGATAGCACCGGTATCATCAACCAAATCCCATGTTGATATTTCACCTTCACCATTTGAATTAATATACTTTCGTTTTGGATGTTTACAACTAATCATTGCCCGTAGTTTCCATCTATATCATATGTAGAAAAGAATATAAAAGACACATTAAATATCATCTACCATAACAATTATAGAATAACATATGTAAATCAAATTTCAATGAAACGCAAATTGTTTGATATGTTTTAATTAAAAAAAGCAAGTGAACCATAAATTATATTAGATTCATAACAAGAATGTCAAAAATATTGTGCATAAAATATAGTTAATTCGAAAGTCAACAACTTACGGAAAATCAATATCGATATTAATCTGATTAATTTTTATTACATTTGATTCATTACCTACAATGAATATTGAATTCAGACTCTTATCCTATAAATGGAAAATTAACAAACGTTAAATTTTTGAAAAATCGATAAATCTGAAATATATTTTTATATTTAATTTTATAACCGATCACAACAAATTTAATAATTTAAATATCATTAAGTTGTCATACTATATTTAGATAAAAGATTGATTCAAAACGTTGAATAAAATTAGATCAATTACGATCTTATTATTTTTTTTCTAGGATATATGCTCAGTCTTACGACTTTTTTAATTAATTAATTTATTTTTATGTACTACATACTTGTTGGTATATCCACAATTTCTAAAATATCCTCTGTTACTTCACCATGTTCATTATATTCATGATTTATGTTATTCCCATTACTATCATTGTTTCGATTAGTATTAGTATTTTCATTGACACCACTATTACAATTATTATCTTCTTCATATTCTGCATCTTCTACAGGATCATTTAAATCTTGTTCGAGTGATACTATTGGTGACATTTTAATATTACTAAAAAGGAAATATATATGTATATATGTATATATGTATATGAGATAAGTCGAAGATCATACCTTTCATTCGAAGTATTATTTATTAATTCTTCGTACATTTGTATTACTGATTGATGAATATCCATTCAAATCTAAAATAAAAAAAAAAAGTTATGACTTGTTTCAAGCATTTAATCTCAGATGAAACATTTGCTATTAAAAATAATAAAAATAAAAATAAAAAAGAAAGAGAAATTGTAATATTTATGACGAGTTCAATTAGCAGATCGGTTTGTTGATGAAGGTTCATTTGTTTCTTGATGATTTACTAATGAAATTTTATTTGTTTGTTGTTGATTTGTTGTTGAAGCTATATTTGGTTGTTGTTCAATTTTTTTCTTTTTTATAAACACAATTGCTTTCGGACCTGTTGTATTGTTTGTTTCTTCAATTTTACCTTTGCCTTCTTCTTCCATTTGTCGAAGTATATTTAAATATTGATCTTTACTTATTTTTCTTTTCAAATTAGCTGGAAGTGATGATAGAAGAAGACGATCAGATGGATGATTTTCAATGTATTTTTTTATATGTTTTACTTCACTTTCAGGTACATCCATAGTATCTATAATATCAAATTATAGATATAATGTATTGTTAAATAAATAGTTTCTTTTTATTATCAAAATATTTGTTTTTTTGGTATTTTACTATCTATGAGCCAAATCTACATTCATATTAGTATAAATTGTAAACTAATTCTTTTATTTTTATCTTTTGAGTTTTGTATAAAATTAAAGAAAATATTCATCATAGACCGATACAAGAGGTAGTAAAGTATATTATCTTACATTTTTTATTTATTAAAATATGATCTGTGAATGGATCATAACCAGCAAGTATTTTGGTTTGGTTAAGATAAAATTTGGTTAATAGAGAAGCACGAAAGCACGTGTCATAATCAATTACATGATCACCTTCATTTAATTCTTGTTCTGTACATATTGTTTTAAATTGATCATTGAGAACACCAAATGATTCAACATGTTCCACCATATTAAATAAACGACGAGAACATATTTTAAAAATATGCAGAGCGAGTGATAAACGTTCAACTCGCCCCATTGATTTTTGATAACAACTATAATACATAAGTTTAATAGATTGAATTAATAAAAAAAACTAAATAAATAAAACAATTACCTTGCTAGAAAATCATCTTCATTGGATTTATCCGATGAAAACATATCATAATTATAAATTACGTCTTTTACAAACTTTTTTGCTAAACAATATAAGAGAATAGTTTTGTTTTTATTGTAATAGTAAAGTTACCTTCATCGTCATAAATATATTCTTCTGTATTACGATGAAGTTTTTTAGTTAAATAAAATAAATGAGCAAGCTTTGGTATCTTATTATTTGGTTCAATAGTTTCGCGATTAGGACGATGCTTATATGCAACAGCAATTATAAATCGATTAAATAAACCATCTTCATTTTGATCTTTTTGGTCTTGACATTTCAAACCAACACCTAATAGGTTGAATTATAAAAAAAAATATCAGTAAGTTGAAGAAAAAAAATGCTAAAAGTACGTATATTATTATATGAAAATTGAAACAAATAACACAATATAATATATTGCTTTTGCATTTTACCTGATAAACATTCAATTGTTCGTTTTGGATGACCAGCAGCTACGATGTTTAAACGTGGTTTAATCATAACATTTTGTCTACTAGCTAACTGTCGACGTACTATACCAGTTGGACTATATAATTCACACATCAGACCACGATCATATGCAGCTCGATCAATACGTGTACTTCCAAAAATACCAAGAAACACCGCAAGCTCATCCCACAACTATAAGAACTTCATTTGTCATATTAAATAATAGAAATGATAACTTACTTGTAATAAATTCGGTTGTTGCTCTAATTCACAACATAACGATTCCATATTGACTGATGCATTAATTGATGAATATTTTACAGGAATACCATCTAGTGCTTCTACAGCTTCACAAGCTTCTTTTACTATTCTTATAGGTGCACTTTTTTTTGATCCTTAAGAAAAAAAAACAACATAAATCATCATAACTGTCGAAGATATTTGATTCGATTTCTTTCTTTAAATGAAAAAATATATGTAATTGTTTTCATACATGAAAAGTAACTTTAAAATTTTCTTCACTTTACTCTTAAATCATAAGTCAAAAATATGAAATAATTTAATGAAATTTTTTTTCTGAAATATTATATTAAATTTTACATTTTAACTACTTTCAAAGATTATAAACATACCACTTCCTCCACATAAAATGCCAAAAAGAATCAATGGTGTATTATACGCTTGAGCACCTTTTAATGAAGCTCCCATTGTCCAATGACAAATGGCAACAATCGTTGTCAAAAATATATAATCTATTGAAACATTAGTTGTTTGTGCAATGTCATTTATTATTAGAAATGAATATTCATCCAAAATGAGTCGTAGATCTAATCTTTCAGCAACACACTGTTTCATTCTACGGATTCATTCACATTTTTCCATGTTTCTCTATAATCAAAAGCATATAATAAACATAATTATAAAATTAAAAATTAAGTCTTACCCAAACCAAATAATGAACGAGGAAATTCAATAGATCAAAAAAGACTACAAAAGAAACAAGATTGATCTAAGAAGGCACAACGTTTTTATTTAATTAACATTGATTAATCTGTGAAACAGGAGCGAAAGTCAATGAATTATACAACAATTTGTGAGATCTAAAGAAAAGCAAATATTTAAATAGATACGATACTTTCTTTCTGTTTTACATGCATAATCATAGCATTAAAAAAAATGTCATTTCATTTATTTAATAATACAGTATACGAAAGAAAGAACAAATACAAATTTTATTTATAGAACGAAAAATTTATCGTATAAACAAAATAACTCAATAAAATGTCTAAAGAGTTTAATATTCTTTTTTTCTTTTCATCACACTATTAGAATTTAATTTTATCTGATTATATCATTGGAAAGATAAAAACAAGAATTTAAAAGAAAATTTATACTCAAAAGCGCCATTGATTAATTGCTTTTGTACAAGACGATGAATATGTTCTTTAGGAGTGTTTGTGTCGTGTTTTTTAAATCTTATAAGCTATTCAATTTATACAATTCTATCAGATAATGCAAAGTCATTATTATTTATATAATTTTTCATGTTTTAGGAAAAAAAAAATTTGTTGATTTCGGCAAAACAAATTTCAAGAACTAGAATTTATTCATCCATTACCAATATAAAAACAAAGTAAAAATATATATCTACTTTAAAGACATAAAGACTTGATTCATTTTTCAGAAAACTAATACAATATGTCTTCTGTAAATATAAATCAATCAGGCAAGATTTTTTTTTAATTTTATCAATAATAAGGCACTCTTTGTATACCATTCTTTTTTTAATATACCGGGTGGGTCATGAGTAATAAAACGGAAAAAAATTGAATATCTCTATTACAGGTTGATGAAACGGGCTCTTTTTTATACTAAAACTAGAAGCTTGTTCACATTCTAAATCCATACAGACCAGGTTAGTGTGAACTTTTGTAAAGTATATTTTTTTCTTCTCTAATTTGTGAAAAAGTAAAGGTTTATTGTTGAGGTTAATAGTGATACTTACCAAAGGTTCTCATTAACCTTATACGTATAGATTTGGACTGTGAACAGAACTCTAGCCTTGATATAAAAATGAGCCTGTTTAATCAAGCCGTAATACAAATATTGAAGTTTTTTTCCACTTCTTTATTTATGGGTTAAGCAATATTTTTCGACATAAAGTATTTTTATGTCATATTACCACTATTCTCATTATCTACTCATTATGTCCTATTTTAAAAAATGTTTGAAAATATTTTGCTTTCAACTTTTTTAGTAAGATTCTGTATATGTTCGTTTTATTATTTAATAATAGAATTAGTTGATGAAAATATATCATACATTAATTCTACTCATGGTAAACGGCAATTAATCTTTCATGGAGCAAGATTTTGTGCAAAACAAAAAAATTTAAGTTCAGTTTTATGGAGATGTATCTAATCCAATTGTTCTGCAAGTATTTCTATTTCAAACAATAATACTATATTAAGAATAAATGAAAATCATAATCATCTTATTGATCCAAATGACATTAAAATCTTGGAACTTCGACACAAATTAAAGCATGAGGCACAAAGTACTTCAGCAACAATTGATACAATAGTTGAAGTTGGTTATTCGAATATGATAACTAAAGAGAAAATGACTGATTCAATTCTAAAATTTCCTACAATAAAAACATTAAAAAATACTGTTGGTAAACAACGTCGACTAATTAGACCACCATTACCAAAATCTATCAAAGATTTACCTTCTCAAATACCAATACTATATACACTCACTAAAAATAATGCAAATTTCCTTTTATTTGATGGGTGTTTAGGTGGAAAAAGAGGTTTGATATTCGCATCTGAAGATGATATTAAATATTTGGCATATCAAAAATTTTGGTATGCTGATGGAACGTTTTACACATCCCCCTCAATCTTTTATCAGATCTATAGTATACGCGCCTTCGATGAAGGATTATCAACTCCATTTGTGTATGCACTTCTTAGTGATAAATCAGAAGCAACATACTATGATTTATTTTCAACATTGATGAAGAAAATAATCGAAATATCAAATATGATTCGACTTGAATCTATTACCATTGATTTTGAACTTGCCGTAAAAAATACATTTTGTAAACATTTTCCACATGTTACAGTAAGAAAATATTTTTTTAAAATCTAGTTGTTTTGAATCTTGCTGCACAGAACATTCACTTCCGGTAATTTCATCCCTTGAAATGCTTCAATACCAAAATTGCATAGGATGTTAAAAAGGTTCTGAGAATTATTAATATTTCGTCAATAAGAAGTACATTGTCTTTACTTATCTATACCAAGCTTTATGATACGTTATAGTAAAATTCAATGGCAAGCTAAATTATCTTTTGAAGAATGTTTTTATATTCATCGATATATATCAAACAGATTCGTCTTCTATTATTAGATTAAATTTGTTGCATACAAATAGATTACGAAAGTAGTAGAATAAGCGATCTTCTCAGTATTTTATCTCTAACGTTTTTGTTTCATCGAAAAGAGATAAATTTATCATAGTCAGATGGACTGCATAATTCACCACAATGTGACTTATTTTATCTTGGCTAAATACCGTTTACCATACTTTAGATCGAAATGGTTTCAGTTACACAAATTAAGAGCACTTTCCACAAATAGTTATTGTATAGTTTGTCCTAATATCGCATTATTTGCCATTTCTTACTAGCTTTTATTGATAGTTTGTTTTAGGCTAGAAGTAACCTGAGTTTACACTTTTTCCAAAGATGTCTAGCGTTTCCTATTTGAGTTGAATTAGTTATTGTCGAATTTAAAATTCTATTTCAACAAAGTTCACTAGAATATAGCAAATAAAGTGATGGTAGGAAACACCGTAAAATAACTAATTTTCGAACATAAACATAATTATTTTTGATGTGGTTATTTATTCTGCTGCACCCATTATCTATCTATGTCTAATAAATTTTATGTAAAGATAGGCGAGTAATTAGTTTCAAACATATAGAGGAATATAAAAAGTTTATTCAAAAGTGAATACAGCATGCTAGTCAACATTGTTATAAGATATTCTAACGTTTGTTGTAGACAACTATAGATAATCTGCTTCCTATTGAAGAAGTATTACTAGATCTCAGAACTTTTACAACACCCTATATAAATTATTCAAAAAATTAACAATTTGACAAATAAAAATTCCTGATGTTTATATATTAAAAGGCTTTTTTTTTTAAAATAATCAATAGCAAAAGAATAAATTAAAAATGAACATTTTATAGTTCAATAATAATTTAACTACTTTATTTACTTTGAAATAGGTAAAAGGATGTCTTTTTCATTATGGAAAAGCACTTTTCCGAAATCTCGTCAATTTAAATTTAAAAACACTATTCCAACACGATGAATCTTTACGTGACTGGTTTAGAAGCTTTGCTGCAATTGCACTTTTACCAGAAACAGATATGGACGAGGCAAGTCAATATTTACAGTCAAAAAAGCCATTATTATATGAAAAAGAGATTGATTTATTTTTGCAATATCATGATAAAACGTATGGTATTAATAGTAGTTTTCCACCAACAATGTATAATCACTATCAAAATCTTAATCCGCGTGCAATAAATTATCTTGAAGGACGTCATAATAGATGGAAAAAAAGAGCTACGAAACCTCATAATGACATTTATGTATGTATCGATATGTTTAAACATGAACAACTGTTAGCTGC